CCTGCTGAAACGGTCTTGAGCGATGAAGAAGGTAGAGCATTCGATTCAGAAATGACGCCGTTCACAAATGGAAATGGCAACTTTCATTTTGGACCTTGAAGTTTGGAAAGTTTTGTAATTAAGCCCCTAGTTGAATTGTAATTGGACCCCTGCATTTCGGCATATTTTACAAGTTAGCCCTTGGACTTTAATCTGTTTGCAATTGTGCCCCCAATTAACCCCAAACTTTGTAATTTATCCAATTAAGTCTCTAATTTCATTAATTAAATTGAATCCAAGTCCAATTAAGTCCCAAACTTATCAACTCTCCAATTAAGCCCTTTAACTTGATTATTTAAATTCATTCCAAGCTCATTTAAGTCTCAAAACTTATCAATTCTCCAAGTCTTTGATTTAATTAATTAAATTAGTCAAGAGTTTAATTAAATTTTTAAATTTCCAATCATATTACCCTTAACCCAAATTTTAATTCATTCTTCATTTATTTTATTTTTACTTGTTTTTCATCATTTTTTTAGTAAATAAAATAATTAAAATAAAAAGGTAAAAAATTAGGTTATGACAATCCCAATAAAATTTTTTCACTTCATTTAAGAACTTTTTTTATCTTGAGTATTCCAATGATTTGACAAATACCCTGGAACAAGAAAGTTGTCAATATTAGCAAACCAAAACAATGTAAAGATGAAAAGTAAAAATTCATTAGAAAAGTAGTCATTGGTTAGTCTGCTCTCAGATATTGAATTTATTATCAACCTTGACAAATGATCTACGTCAATAATTTTTTGGTGTCTTTCTTGTCTTTGATTGTGATATTGAATTCTTGAAGTAGCAAAATTCACCATACCAATCTAGCTTTAGAATCTTTTTTTGAAAAAAGATATTTTAAAGCTGCATGATTCCTAAAGACAACAACAGGTGAGCCAACAAGATATTTGTCATATGCAAATACTACTGCAAGTAATTCCTTTTCAGTGGTAGTTTAATTCATTTGAGCACTATTTAAAGTTTTACTTACATAGTAAATCATATAGGGTTTCTTATCTTATCTTTTTCCTAAGATAACACCTATGATATAATCACTAGTATCCACATTATTTCAAAAGATAATGACCAATCACGAGATTGAATGATCGGAGTAGAAGTAAGCAAGCTTTTAAGTTTAACAAGAGCCTTTTCACACTGTTCAGTCCATTCAAAAATATTTTCTTTTGTTAGAAGGTTACACAATGGTTTAGATATTATGCTACAGTTCTTGATAAACCTTCTATAAAAACCAGTATGCCCTAAGAATGACCTTACATCTTTAATAGATTTTAGTGTTGGCAAATTGACAATTAACTCAATTTTAGATTTCTCAATCTCAATTCTTTTCGATGAAACAATATGACCAGGTACAATGCCATTTGTTATCATAAAATGATATTTTTCTCAATTCAGCATAAGATTCTTCCCTTCACACCTGCTCAAAACCTTTTCTAAATTAGTCAAACAATCATCAAATGAATCGTCAAAAATAGAAAAATCATCCATAAAAAATTCAAGAAACAATTCCATTATATCATTAAATATATTAAGCATGCATCTTTGAAATGTGGCTAGTGCATTACATAATTCAAAAGGCATCCTTTGACATGCAAAAGTACCAAACGAACATGTGATTGTGGTTTTCTCTTTATCTTCAAATGCAATTTCAATTTGATTGTAACCTGAATTGTCATCTAGAAAATAATAAAACTCATGATCTGCCACTCTTTCTAGGATTTGATCCATGAAAGGTAAAGAAAAATAATATTTTCTAGTTATTGATTTAAGTTTCCTATGGTCAATGCACACATACCAACTGGTGACAGTTCTAGTGGGAATTAACTCATTTTTCTTATTTGTTATCACATTGACTCTAGACTTATTGGGTACAACTTGGGTAGGACTTATTCATTTGCTATCAAAAATAGGATAAATAATTTCATTATCTAGAAGTTTAATGACTTTATTTTTCACTACTTTTTTCATATTAGGATTAAGCCTTTGTTGCATTTCTCTAGAGGGTTTAACATTTTCCTCTACATAAATTATGAGTGTGCAAATCAAAGGACTAATTCCTTTTATGTCAGCTATGGTTCATCCTAATATATTTATGTGCATTTTAAAGTTTGGAATAATTTACCTTCTTAATGTGCATTGAGTTTGGAAGAAATTATTACCGAAAAGATTTTATTTTCTTCTAAAAATGAGTATTTAAGATTGAATAGTAATGACTTCAACTCAAGTTTTGGTGGTTAGACATTTAAAGGTACAGGCCCCATTGATAATGGTGGTGATTCTTCAATTTGTGGTCTCCAATTATGTGTTTTTAATTCATCCTGAATATAAACCATTTGAAACTCGCTAGATTCATCAATCTTGGTTTCATTGGAAATGGTTTGAAATTGATCATGAACTAGTTTTTCAATAATGTCCACTTCTTGTAAATCATTATCATCTTCAGGTTGCTTGCAAATGTTGAAAATATTCATCTCTAATCTTATGTTTATAAATGATAACTTCATCAATCTATTTCTACAATTAATCAATGCAATAGAAGTTGCAAGAAATGAATGTCCTAAAATAATAGGAATTGAATTACACGGTTTAACAAGTTATGTATTCAAAACAACAAAATCTACAAGGTAAATGAATTTATCAACTTATACTAACACATCCTTAACTATTCCTCTAGATACTTTTAGAGATTTATCGGTAAGTAGAAGAATTACAAAGGTTGGTTTTAACTCACCTAGATTAAGACTTTCGAAAACTGAATATAGAAGTAAATTAACACTAGCTCTAAGATTAAATAATGTTCTTTCAATTTTATATTCCTTAATAAAACAAGAAATTATAGGATAAATAGGGTCTAGGGTCTTTATATTTCAAGACAATGTTGTTCTGAAGAATGACATTTACTTGTTCGACTAAAAAGATATTTTTTTTCACATTCATTTTTGTCTTAATAGTGTACAAATCTTTCAAAAATTTATCATTAGAAGGTGCATGTCTAATAACATCCAACAAAGGTATATTGATCCTTACCTATTTGAAAGTTTCAAAGTTGTGACTGACTTTCCTCTGTTTGGTCATTACATAAGGAAATAGAAGTGCTAGTGGGGAATCAATCTTTTCCTTGCAATGTTCAGGTTTAACCGCTTCCTTACCCTCGGAGATTGACTCGTCATCATCCTCACAAGGTTCAAGAATGAGTTTTTCAATAACCTTACCACTGCAAAGAATAATAACTAATTGGACTTGATACATGTATTGGCTTATAAAAATACTTGTATTTGCATTGTATTGCCCCTTAGGATTTTATTATGGTTGAGATGGAAACTAACCTATCTCTTGAAAACTAAAAGCAAATGTGAATTTTGCAGGAATATCTTTAAAATCTATCATGGTTTGAGTAAGTTGAGTATTGATTGTCTCCTGCTTTTCAATCAATATATGCATTATTTCCTCAAGATTTGTTCTAGGAAGTGGAGAAAGAGGTGTAAATCGATGAGAATTTTGAAAATTATCGTGTGCTTGAAATGGTGGTTGTAAAGTTTATGTATTATTGGTATCACTCTTCCAACTAAAATTTAGGTGATTCCTCCAATCAAAGTTGTAAGTTTGCGAGTATAGGTTATGATTAGACTTATAAAAACTGTTAAAAGTATGAGCTTGTTCATGGAGGCATTTCTTAAAAGAAGGTAAAGTTAGACAATCATTTATTAACTATTTATTGGTTTCATAAATTTAACACACAATGTCTTGGACGGATTTTAATTGATGACTTTTTTTAAGTTCCAGTACCTCGACTTTTCTAGCTAAAAATGCAAACTTGGCTTAGAGGTCATGATTTTCCCTAAGGTTGTACATTCCTCCACTAGATGTATTAGGTTGAGTTTTACTTGTTATCTCATAAGTTCTTGTAGTGTCCTAATTTTGAGCATTTTCAGCTAATAAGTCTAAGTACTCCATTGCTTCATTAGAGTCTTTATCTTCAAAAGTTTAATTGCACATCAATTCCATCATTTGCCTATGTATAGGTGTTAACCCTTTATAAAAATGTGAAACTGATCTCCATATTTCAAAAACATGATGAAGACAAGTATTAAGCAAGTCTCGATACCTATCCCAACACTAATAAAATATTTTTCTTGGTTTTTGAGTGAAAGTAGTGATTTGTCTCTTGAAAAAGTTTGTTTAGTGAGAGAGAAAAAACTTCTTTAAAAACTATTATTGCTTATCATCACAAGCATGAATGATTCCTAGCCTAAGATTTTATAGTCATGTTTTAGCTTTATCTTTTAATAAAAAAGAAAAAGGTTTTAATCTGATGATGTTCATGCTACAATTTAGATCATTATACATGTTACAGATCCCCTCAAATTCTATTAAATGCAAGTATGGGTTTTCTAAGTCTAAGCCATGAACAATAGGTAAGAGTTGAATAATGTCCGATTTAAAATTAAAATGAGATGCATCAGGAGGGAAGACTATGCATGATGGTGCACTTGTTCTTGTTGGATTCATGTGGTCTCTAAGTATTCTAACATGATTGTTCTCATTATTCTTATCGTGCAGTGATTGGTTATTCTCTTCTGCCATGTTTTCTAAAGAAGATGAAGATACCCTATAAAGTCTACCACTTAATATATGTGACCACACTCTCTTGCACATATAGGAAGAGAATGAAGAAACAAAGAAAAAAAAAAGAAAAAATAGTTAGATACAAGGAAAGAAAAGAAAAGACAAAAAAATAAAATATATAATTTATACAGTAATTTACCTCCTCAACAACGACGTCAAAAACTTGATACGACCAAAAGATTGACGTCTTCTCCCAAGTGCAGGAGTGTTGAAGTAATAAATAACCCGACAAGACCAGGATCGAACCACAATGAGGTTAACTATATAAACTATAAATAATAATATTAATAATTATTATAATAGTACAAGTCGAAGTGGTAATAGAAGTAATAATAATAAGAAAAAAAATAAAAAGAACAACAACAACAACAATAACAACAATAATGGTGATGATGAGGAGGAGTTAAAGAGCACTTTAAGATGTAAGATAAATATAAAGATTAAACAATAATATTTTATTTTTATGTAAATTTGTTTCGGGTCCTTATGTTAAATTGATTTTTGATTTTCATTTTACCCTTCAATCAAATATAAAATTTATTTTGTTTTGTTTTTTTAATTTTGATCCTTCTTCTTTTAATTGTTATTTTTAATTCTTTTGTATAGTTGAATATTTTTTTTTAATTTTATCATTTTAATAGT